CAGAAGGGCTCCATGCTTGATTTAACCCTGTGCTGTTGCTGTCCTGACAAATGTCAGTAACTCTATTTTGAATTCGGGATTGGTAGGTGGGACAACGGGGTGGAGTGTGCATGTGAGTTGAGGAAACACAACAGCAGGTAACGCACGCATGTGTGCAGAGGGCTCAGGCAGTGCAGGTGCCCCAGCATGCACGCCCGTGCCTCCGAGCAGTTCTGGGGGCTGCTGGGCGGGGGCCTGGACCCACACAGCAGTGGAGACGGTGGCGGCAAGAGTAGAAGCAGAGGCGATAGCAGTGGGGCCTGTGGCTGCAGAGATGGGAGGGGCTCTGTGACGGGACAGTGCCCAACCCTGCGGTGGTAGGCCGGTTTGCCAACGCCCTTGTCATCTACACGAACAACGACTCTCCAACCTCAAATGGGGACAGTAACTGCTGGCACTCAGGCCACAAACTTTATCAGTAAATTAGTACAAAATGAGAATTGCATATATGAGCACTACAATAAAACATTTCAGGGAATTATTAGAATTCTTAAAAGGTTTAGAATCTCTAGTTTTGAAAACTGCTACAACCTTGCAAAGCAAATAACCACAGGTGTAGACATAGAAACTACAGGTGAAGACCGTCACATTCTGTAGAAAACACTATTTTCACGTGAAGGTTTGAATGAAACAATGTTTTAGTTAATGAGGAAGACAATTAAAGTTCTTTTCCCTTGTAATGGAAGATACAGTGACAGAAAGCATAAGCAGGCCTTTTGAATTAGACCCAAATCACAAAGACACTTTCAGGTGTTTCTACAGCCCCCACCATTTTCAGAAAACATTTCCTCATGTTTTCTAAACACTAAGTGCCATTGTATAAATTACACTTAAAATTAAATTCAGACTTACATAAAACTAATTCATATGAAGAGTTAAATCTGTTTAGAAAAATTATTTCATATGAGCCAATACTCTAGAAGTACTAAAGTTTATATTTCAAAATAATTTATTAGAAATTTATCTTAGCCCTGGCCAAGTAGCTCAGTTGGTTAGAGCACCAGCCTGACATGCCAGAGTTGCGGGTTCCATCTCCGTCAGTCAGGACACATGCAAGAAGCAACCAGTGAACCAATAAAAGCATAAATAAGTGGAACAACAAATCAATGTCTCTTTCAAGTTAATAAATAAAAGAAAAAAGAAATTTATCTTAGTGCTGTCACAGTCTATAAATATCCTTAACAACTGCATCAGCCGAAAGCTCCTTTTCAAAAGGAAAATGATCAAAATGTATTTTGATTGTACATTTGCCAAGAGTGACTGATATAGCTTTCAGTCACATCTCTTGAAAAAGGACTGCATGAAATTAGTGAATTAAGAATAAAAATGACAAATATAAATCTTAATAAATTTTCAGACTAATGAGCCGGAAAATTTTCATAACCAAGATATCACATTAATAAACTATTACCACTTATTGTGTTATATACAATTGAGTCTGAAAATGTTATTTTTGCAATCTTTAAGTTCACTGAGGCACTCCTATATCAGTTACTCATATTACATCAGTACCTTTAACTGCACTTTTTTTTCCTGCTTTTTGAACAGGGGTCCTGCATTTCCGTTTGGTACTGGGCCCAGCAAACCATGTAGCCAGTCCTGACCACAGGTAAGGGTATGACATATTTTTGTCATAAGCAATTATTGAAGATAGTTCATGGTTATGAATACTTAAGAAGGGTAGAAAAGAGAAAGAAATGAAAGAAAATGCATGTTCTTGGTATGTTCATAGAAAATCTATCTGCTAGGCATTTAATCTATTGGGTTGGCCAAAAAGTTTGGTTTTTTTGTAAGAGGTTTCTAGTAGTGTTTAGTTGTCTTCATTCGAAACAGTTTTGTTAGATTGTATTGTGACAGCTGTCATATTAGTGCTCTTAAAAAAACTTATCAAAACTGGTGAATTTTTGTGTAGCCCTTCTAATATTGAAGATGGAAGAAAATATGCAACTTTTTTGCATATTATGCTTTATTATTTCAAGAAAGGTAAAAATGCAACTGAGGCACAAAGGAAAAAAGATTTGTGCAGTGTATGGAGAAGGTGCTGTGACTGATCGAACACGTCAAAAGTGGTTTGCGAAGTTCTGTGTGGGAGATTTCTCTCTGGACGATGCTCCACAGTAGGGTAGGCCAGTTGAAGTTCACAGCGGTCAAATCAAAACATTAACTGAGAATAATCAATATTGTATACGTGGGAGATAGCCAACATACTCAAAATATCCAAATCAATAAAGTTACTGGTCAAAATGAAAAATGTCTTTTTTATGGAAAAAAGCCTAAATGGGCTAAAATGCAAAATCTGGCATAAGGAAAAATCTGTTTGTCTTTGATCCAAAATGGATGTCACACACAAAAAAAGCACTTTGGGACAATACTGGCATCCTCATTAAAATTATGGTTTTTCCAATGAATGCATAAGTGGAAAAACAAGTCAATGTTTCTCTCTCTCTCTCTCTCCTTTCTTTGCCCCTCTCTAAAGTCAATAAAATTCTTAAAAGTATGGGTTTTGCCATCCAAAGCACAAGTTTAACAGGGATCAACATCAGTTCAAATGAGGGTCACACTCTGGTACATTATAAGCAGTAGGCCTGTCAGATTGTCCTTCTATCAGCATTCTGTGATTTTCAAGTACAAAGAGCTATTTTTCCAAAGAAACAGCACCCCCTTCCATTCTTAGTTCCTCTAGAAATGACACCTTGCAGTAAACTTGACATAGAAACAAAATCACAATAGAGATGACTTCCATTTGAAAGTGAAACGTTAAGGGAAAGCATTAAACCAAACTTGCTTCCCATGAAGATGAAAAAGATTCATTTAAATATAATTGTTTTTATTTTGTATGATAATTATATAAACAATTTTATTGCAGGAATTAAGAAACATAAAGAAGATGCATATTTATGCAAAAACAATTTTAGTTCTATCTTCTTGATCTCTAATGAAATTATAGGTTTCTAAGTGACAAAATTTTGTTTCAGTGCTTTTAATGGGCCCATTTAGCCACATTTCTAGCACTAATATTGTTAAAATAAACTGAGAAAAGCTACAAGCATGTACAGAATTACCCAAACACACCCCAACCAGGGAATGGACCCACAACATAGGCATATGCCCTGACAGAGATTCAAACCTTTAACATTTTGGTTTGTGAGGACGACACTCCAGTCAACTGAGCAACCCAACTGGAGCATACACAACGTTTTTTTGTTTTGTTTTGTTTTGTTTTAATTTTATTTTAATCATTGTTCAAGTACAGTTTTCTTCCACTTACTCCCATTCCAGCCCACCCATCCAACCCTCCCCACTTCCCCGCCATTACTCCCCACCCTTAGTTTTTGTCCATGTGTCCTCCAAATTTGTTCCTGTAAAGCTTACCCATTCCCCCCTGAAATTCCCTCTTCTCTCCCCTCTGGTCACTGTCAGTCTGTCTCCTGTTTCAGTGTCTTTGGTTATATTTTGCTTGTTTCTTTGTTTTGTTGTTTAGGTTCCTGTTAAAGGTGAGATCATGTGGTATTTGTCTTTCACTGCCTGACTTATTTCACTTAGCATAATGCTTTCCAGCTCCATCCATGCTGCTGCAAAGGGTAGGAGCTCCTTCTTTCTTTCTGCTGTGTAGAATTCCATTGTGTAAATGTACCATAGTTTTTTGATCCATTCATTTACTGATGGGCATCTAGGTTGCTTCCAGCACCTAGCTATTGTAAATTGTGCTGCTATGAACATCGGGGTGCAAAGGTTCTTTTGGATTGGTGTTTCAGTGTTCTTAGGATAGAGTCCCAGCAGTGGAATCGCAGGGTCAAAAGGCAGATCCATTTTTAGTTTTCTGAGGAAGTTCCATACTGCTTTCCATAGTGGTTGTACCAGTCTGCAGTCCCACCAACAGTGCACTAGAGTCCCCTTTTTTCCACAACCTCTCCAACACTTGTTGTTTGTTGCTTTGTTTATGATGGCCATTCTGGCTGGTGTGAAGTGGTATCTCATTGTGGTTTTAATCTGCATCTCTCTGATAGCTAGCGATATTGAGCATTGTTTCATGTGTCTTTGGATTTTCTGTATGTCCTCCTTGGAGAAGTGTCTGTTAAAGTCCTTTGCCCATTTTTTAATTGGGTTACTTGTCTTCTTAGAGTGGAGTCGTGTAAGTTCTCTATATATTTTGGAGATTAAACCCTTGTCTGAGGTATCATTGGCAAATATGTTTTCCCATGCAGTTGGTTCTCTTTTTATTTTGATACTGTTTTCTTTAGCTGTGCAAAAGCTTTTTATTTTGATGAGGTCCCATTTGTTTATTCTTTCCTTTATGTCCCTTGCTCTAGGAGACAAGTCAGTAAAAAAGTTTCTGTGTGAAATATCTGAGATTTTCCTACCTACATTCTCTTCTAGGACTTTAATGGTGTCACGGTTTATATTTAACTCTTTTATCCACCTTGAATCTATTTTTGTATAAGGTGTAAGTTGGTGCTCAAGTTTCATTTTTTTACACGTAGCTGTCCAGTTCTCCCAACACCATTTGTTGAAGAGGCTGTTTTTATTCCATTTTATGTCGCTGCTTCCTTTGTCAAATATTAATTGACCGTAGAGACTTGGGTTTATTTCTGGGCTCTCTATTCTGTTCCATTGGTCCATGTGCCTGTTTTTATGCCAGTACCAGGCAGTTTTGATTACAGTGGCCTTGTAGTAGAGTTTAGTGTCAGGTATTGTGATCCCTCCTACTTTACTCTTCTTTCTCAAAATTGCAGCAGCTAATTGGGGTCATTTATAATTCCATACAAATTTTTGAAGTGTTTGTTTTATGTCTGTGAAATATGCCATTGGTACTTTAATAGGAATTGCATTGAATGTGTAAATTGCTTTTGGTAGTATGGACATTTTGATGATATTAATTCTTCCAATCCATGAACACGGTATATGTTTCCATTTGTTTGTGTCTTCCTTGATTTCTCTCCTCAGTGTTGTGTAGTTTTCTGAATACAGGTCTTTTACCTCTTTCGTTAGGTTTATTCCTAGGTATTTCATTTTTCTTTTTGCTATTTCAAATGGGATACACAACGTTTTAAAAATTAGGAAAAACAACTGTGATACACATAAGAATAGAATAAGAAAAGAAATATTCATAATATATCAAGCTCTCTAACAAATCAGTGACTTTTTTTGCAGCATGCCTTCGTTTTCTAGGCTGATTGTATCCAGGTTAACTTTGAGAAAGAAAACAAGTGAAAAGGAACTGAATAGGGAGTGAGCAGAAAGGCACTGTCTGTGCAGGTGGGGCTGGCTGCACCGATTGGGATGGCAGGTGAGGGCAGGCTTCGTCAGCCCCAGCTCGGCCCCCCCCCACCCCCGGCGCCTCTCTGTATCACTCCCTGGCACCAGAAGTTTGGGTTTTAAAGTGATAATAATTTAACAAGTTACAACGGGGTCAAAGAGAACAGTGTGACAGCACCCCATCAACACAGTGGTTAAATTTAAAAGATAAATAAAACTAGCTATTTATCTAGGTAAAGTATCTGAGAAAGGGTGGGACTTGGGTGTGTTTATTGCAGGCCGCTTGTTACCAGGCACAGGTGATTCCAGTGCTGTGGAGGGTGTGTGTATGGTCAGGATATTTTTGTGCTGTAGGTTTGTAAATAACTATGTATGGATATGCAAGTTGGACAGTGATGGAGGCTGATGGGAAACAAATTGATTCATTTCAAGCAGGGTGCAGGAGGAGAGCTGTATGGATACATGGGCCGCCAGAAAGCCGAATTTAAGCCTGAAACATCACCGGAAATAAAAATGACGAAAGTGAAGCTGCCCTACTTCGGGCACATGAAGAGAGGGCACAGTTCTTTGGAAAACACAGTAATGCTGGGGAAATAGAAGGCAGCAGGACATGAGGGACACCGACCACGAGACGGACTGACTCCACAAAAGAAGCCGTAGGAGCTGGGCAGGGCTTCTGAGGACAGGGCACTGTGGACATCATTCCTTCAGAGGGTCGCTAGGAGTCGGAGCTGACTCAGTGGCATGTCACACACACACACACACACACACACACACACAGAGGTCTGGAAAGGACCAAGCTCCTTGCCCCGGTGTGTGCAGAAAGGATTGAGAACTGGAAGGCTCAGGTCAGACCCAATTCAGGGAGGTGCTGGCTTGCCCGCACAATTTTACAAAATTTTGAAAGAGTGACTGTGATGGTTAACCTTACAGGTCAGCTTGGCTAGGCTATGATGCTCAATAGTTTGTTCAATACTAATCTAGATGTTGCTGAGAAGACGTTTCAGATGCAATTAACACCTAATGATCAGTTTCCCCTAACTACCGGATACTAATCCAGTAAGTTGAAGGCCTTGAGAGCAACACCTGAGGTTGCCTGGAGAAGAAGGCATTCTACCCCAGGGCTATAATATAAAAATATTGCCTTAGTTTCTAGCCTGTTGGCCAGCCCTAACAATCACCTGAGCCAGTTCCTTAATGTAACTCTATTGTGCATACACACACATATACACACACATATTAGTGGCCATATACACACACGTATACTTGTATGTGTGTGTGTGTATCTGTAAGGGAAGTTGGGAAATGTCAAATTTCCTAAGCTTGCTTTCCGTTAGCTGTGGCCAGGCAGCTAGATTCTAGCCAAAAGGATATAAATAGATGTGTTTTGTGGCAGCTTCCTTAAAAGACACATACCCTGTTTCCCTGTCTGCCTGGAACAGGCCGTCAGAGCTCTAGCGGCTGTACTGGATCAGGAAGATAAATGTCATACCCTGAGAACGATAGAACAGAAAGCTGGAAGGAACCTGGATCCCTGGTCACTGCAGAGCTCCTAGATTTGTTCTGAAATGCCTCTTTTGAGGGGAAAACATTTTACCGAATTTATGCTAGGTGTTGTTTTGGATTCCCTGTTACATTTAGTGAAATGCAGTCCTAATTTTAAAATTAGGAACCTTCACTTAAAATTTTAGATCTCTTGTTTCTTCCTTGACAAGTTGGAATATCTGGTAAAACTGGGGGTCACGCTCCCCATTGTGGCGATTGCCTAGGGTAGGATAAAGGATGTTTGCTTGCTTTAAACAGGGCTGGAGACCCCAACCAGGTTCTTTTCCTTTGTTTATATTCTTAGAGGCATTTGAGCTTCCCTTGTACAAACTTATTTTGTCCTCCTAGGCTGTTTCTCCAGCTGGTTTTTTGGAGAGTGAGTCAGGATGGAAAAATCTCTTTGCATCACTTGCAGCGAGAGCATTCCCAAATCGGTGTAGTCCACAAAGAAAGATGTTTCTGAGGCTGGTGGAAGCAGGGCTACTCCTCTACCCCCTGAGACACAATGTCCACTGCAACTGCGGTCCTACAGGCCTGCTTGTGGCGGCAGAGGCGGTGGGCAGGTCTCAGGGTCCACAGACTTTTCATGGTGGGAAGCTCTACTCCCCGAGGCACAGGAGGAGGAAAATCCCACGGCTGCAACTCTTCTCCTTTTAAAGACCTTCATCTATTTTAATGGATTTGTATTCTTCTAGTCCACATAATTTTGACCCAATTTCTCACTAACAGTCAAGCCTTACTTTAGTGAAAGAGCATCGCCCCCTCCCAATTTCCAACCGGCTCTCTGCCTTAAATCACATCTCCGAACTTCCTGCACTGATTCTTTAATGGACAGAATGGCCTGAGAGGATTTCCCTTAATCTGGGGACCAGCAGTTGGAGTCCCATTTGCTGTTTAACCTAAAGGAATCTGGCAATCATTGGAGGAGGAGAGAGATTGTAAATTGAAGGCTTTTTGGTGAGTGAAAGACCCATTCTTGTCTTTGCCTACGAATGAACTCCAAGCCTCTAGGATGTGAGCAGAAAGTAGGATGAACTCTGTCTTTCAGAATCAGGCCAGCAACAAAGCATAGAAAAACCCTTCTAAGCCGCTCAGGCCTTTTGGGAGGAAGGAATGATAAGATCAAAAACCTGTGTTTTTGTGCCAGACTACCTCTGCATTAGATTTGTCTTGTCTTTTCATTCTCGAAATTCCATTAAATTGATGATTCATTCACATCTGAGTATTTTCCACAGCTTGGCACTGTTTCAGACCTCGGAAAGACAGTAAGCAAGACAGGTCACATTTCTTCCCTGATAGAGCCTACATTTCAGTTGAGGGATACAGATAATAAGTATAACAAGTAAACAATGACATAATCAAGACAATTTCAGATAGTGATAAGTGCTATGAAAAAAAGCTTTAAAAAACTTTACAAAAAGGTGAGCTAGACAGTGATAGGGGGATGGGAAGGGGTCTACTTTAGGTGGGTGGGCAGGAAGGTCTTTCTTAAGGGGGTGATATTTACTGTAAATGATCAGAAGAAGGCCTGGAAAAGGAGCAAGCTAAGAAGGGAAACAGCACGGAACCTGAGGCAGAGAAAACCAAGAGATGCAGCCACATATAAGGTGTGGGTTAGATCACACAGAACTTCAGTTCAGAGATAAGGACTTTGGACCTTATTCTAAGGGCATTTAGAAGTCATTGGATAATGTTAAGCAGGAAAATAAAATGATTTAATTCTGAGAGCTCACCCTGACTGTCAGTTAGATTACGGATATGACACGTAGGATGGATAAGGTAGTAACAGTAGAGATAGAAAGAGGTGAGCTATTCAGGATCTATTTTAGAGATTGAGCCAACAGAACTTGCTAGTGGATTGGATGTGGGGTAGGAGGAAATAAAAGTAATCAAATAGGGGGACGTTGGTTCCATTTACTGAGAAGGGAAGCCTGAGAAAGGAACAGATTTTTTGGAAAGAAATCAGAAATTTGTCTTGCCCAGGCTTTGTCTGAAGTGCCTGTGATGCATTCAGGTGGAGATGGAAGCAAGCAGTTGGACAAATGAGAATTTTGGAGCACACATTTGAATTGTCTGCCCATTGTATTGTAGAAACCTGGAAAAGTCAAAGAATAAGCCTGAGAGGGTGGGTCCCCCGTTCTGCTGGACCAGCAGAGGTCCGCTACAAGCGGCCAGGTCCCCATCATCTGAGGGTTTCAGTGTGCCTGTGGGTAGTGGCATGCTTCACTGCACATGGCAGAAGTGCTTTAGAATTGAGAAGATCAAGCGAGTTATAAATTGCGATTTGTCATTAACTTACATTTCAATTTGCCAAGTGCCCTCTCTTGAATTATGAATGATCTTCAGTTGACTCTCAGTATGAAGTTTCTGGTTTCTGCTTCCTGCTCTCCTTTCTCATCACTCCCTGCCCCGGCTTCTCAAACCAGCCTTTACTGTATGGACTGCATAAAGTAAAAGCTTTAATTCACCTTTTGATGACTGGGGGGATGCAGGGAGGAGTCCCTTAGAAAGCTCAGGAGATACCTTGCCTCTTCTCTCCTTCCGAAAAGTTGGGGAAAGAAACAGTGAGACAGGCAGCCAGGTTGGAAGGAGTGACTTCAGGTCTGGTAGCCAGGGGTGCTGGACTAATATTGAATTCCAGATCAAGAGCTGTCCCTACCCGGTTGCAAGCAGCACGGGGCTGGGAGCTGGCAGCCCCAGAGAGGACAGCTGTGGGCTGCACCTCCTAAGAGGAAAAAGTGGCAGAGCTGAGCCCAGTATGCTGTTACTTGCCCCGCTTCACTTTACACCATCAGAAGTGAAATGGTTAAGGCTCTGAGAGAGGCCAGAACGTAGTCCTCTTCATGGAACCATATGATGGGCAGGAGAGGGCCTTCTCCTCTGCTAGATAATAAAAACATTCCCCATTAACTGGTTGGCTTTAAATGGTTGGATTTTCAGGAAGTAGGGGACAGTTAGGTAAGTTCCACACATGGGTATCAAGCACACGTCTGCCATTTAGTAGCTCTGTAATTCTGGCAAACTTACCTGACCGAAGTCGCACATTTCTCATTTGTAAAAATGAAGATAATAGTACCTACCTGGTGAGGTCACTCAGGTAACACGTCCAGGGCACTGCCCGAATCAGGGTCTCATTCAGTAAAGAATTACTGCTACTATTGCTGCTGCTGCACTGTTGGCCATCACTATCACCATGTTAGGAAATCTGATAGGTGCGGGGGAAGAATATAAAGACAAAAGACAAAATCTTACAATCTAGAAGCTTAAGGCTTGGTCAGGAGGTAGGAATAAAAAGTATTAAAATACAATGTTACGCATGTATAGTAAGGTTTCTTACCAGAAGGGTGCCTGCAAGTGACCACATTTAGTGAGACTGTATCTATGTAGGCCAAGATTGTATCTACAATCTTGGAATTGTAGACCCTCCCACATCCTAAGTGGGTGGGAAGTAAGTAGTTCCAATTGTTAACCCAGAAAAGTATCAGGACATGCCTGTGTTTTTTGTTTGTTTTTGGTAGGCTTTGTTGTTGTTGTTGTTGTTGTTGTTATTTTTTCAAAGGAGTTAGTCACCAGGGAGAAATAGGATGATGGCTTTAAATTCTGAAGACAGTGAAAGCTAGAACCAGCCCTGGTTTAGCACTTCTCAGTGCAGTAAGAGCTGACCACTTTGGAATCTGACACGGGGAGCCTAGACTGGCAGAACCTGAGGGTCCTTGCATCAGCATGATTCCGGGACAGGTTGGAAAGGCTCCACTCTGGCCCAGACTATTGACATTGCACTGATCTCACTATGTGGGTTCCCTTACTCTGTTTACATCTTCTGCTAAACAGCCTTGCCCCTGAACCACTTCACACAGCTGGCCAGTCCACACACAGCCTATTATTGTGGAAGTAACCAGGATGCTTCCTACTGAGTCTTACTGTTGTACCTCCTAGTTCATCTCTAGAGTGCAAATAGTTGTGCCCTCCTACACCAGTAATAGAAAGCCCTAAAGTCCAGACTGTCCTCCCTCCAACCCACTCTCTGTAACTCTAAGTCCTTGCTGCCTTATCTGCTGAGGTGGCTGGGAATTTGGCCAGAAGCACTTCCTGTTAGAGAGCTCTGGGGTTTGGGCAGCCCACCCCCAGAAAATATGCCAAGCACCCTCCAGGAATCAGGGACACATGACCAATTTTCCCGAATTTACCCTACTGCCGCAGCCATGAGACTGATCTACTAGACTTTTTCAGGTACTTCTTAAGCACAGCAAATCCTGTATGCATAAAGGAAAAGGACTTGGAAGGAGAACAGTCTGGACTTCTGGGATTTCCATTACTGGTGTGCGAGGGCTCAAATATTTGCACTCTAGAGATGAACTGGGGGGCACAACAGTTGCAATCCCAATTGTGTAAGAGGCATCCTGATTACTTCTGCAACAGTGGAAGCTTGTGTAAGCCACAGTAGCAGGAAGCAAGGAGTGATGAATTCTGTAGGAAGAGGTAATGGAGGAAGACTTCTGAGATGTCAGACCTGAACAGGTTTTGAAAGTGTGAGTAGTTTATAGTGATAGAGCAGAGGAAGTTAATAACAGACAGGAAGAACAGCATAGACAAAAACTTTACCAACTGATTATGTAACATGGTTCTTCAGTGACCTCAAAGTACCTTTGTTCACTTTGTCAGTTTTGGTGGATTAATTTCTTGTTCCAGTCTTTACTGATAACTCTTCTCAGCTCTTCACAAAGTACAGTATATCTAAGGTATGTAGAAGAATGCCTGGCACATGGTTAGCACCATATTAGTTAAACTTTTGATAACTACCTAGCTCAACTTTTTAAAATACAAAATGTAAAAATATTCTCAAGCCTAACCAACCAATCTTTCCTGTTTTCTGCTCTTGCCCACCTCAATCTCCATCCTTCGAAAATCCTAAACACTCAATTTCAAAAGCCAAATTTTAAGAGGCCATTCTAAAATAGATGCAACACAAAACACCAAAAACGGAGAGCCGTTGCAAGACAAGGGCAATGTTCGATTTTTTTTTTTTTTTGGTCTGGGGGTGACTATTGGCAAACAAATAGTGTCTATCGTAAAACAAGACTTGAAAAATATCTGCTACTTCCCAAGTCCTATTTCAGAGGTTTTAAATAATCGCATCTTGGCCCTCTAAGAACCTTATCCTCAGCAGATCTCCCGCGTCAGAGGCCACACGGAGAATCTGCGAGGAAGTGCGGAACCGCGCTAGGTGTGGTGGTGCTCGCAGTGAGTGCCACGTAACCAGGGTGCTGGAACTAATTCGACATGTAGAAAAGGTTAAGGGAAAGGAAACACCGGCCTAGACTCAGGGGGTAAGACTCAGAAAGGAGAGGTAACGAGCCTTGCAGTTCTGGGAAGGTGGGCAATTACAGAGGAAGAGGGCCCAGGTGGGGCGTGAGAAGGATGCAAGAAAAGGTAACGTGGCTACGGTACCTGCCGGGAGTGCCCTGTCCAATGGGAAAAGGGCGCGAGCCGCACTTCAGCCTGCCGGAGGACGTCAAGACGCCGAGGCGAACGCCGGGCCAATGGGAGGCCGGCAGGGGCGGGGTCTGGGGGGGAATCAGGGCTGGGGCGCCCTAAGACTGTTGGCGGTGTCTTGTGGCCATCCCGGGAGAGGGAGAGCCGAGCGGGCGGCTGTGGACGCCGCTGAGCTTGGAGCTCAAGACGGCCACTGCCCACTCCCGCATGGTGCTGACTCCTCACTAGGCGGCGGCGGCGGCGGCGAGGCCTGAGGGGCGGCTCAGGGTCGAGGCTGCGCGTCTCCTACACTTCCTCTAGTGGCGGCCGTCTCGGTGGGCGGGATGGCGGCGGCCCGGGGGAGCGGCCGCGCATCTGCGCCCCGGGTGCTTCTGGTCCTGCTGCTTCTGCTAATGTGGGCCGCGGCTGGGGTCCTGCCGGTCCCCGACGAAGACCTTAGCCACCGGAACAAGGAGCCGCCGGCGCCTGCTCAGCAGCTGCAGCCGCAGCCCGTAGCCGGGCAGGGCCCCGAGCCGGCTCGGGCCGAGGTGAGCCGGAAGGGCCGGAGCAGGCCGGGCTGCTCCGGGTACCAGGGGCGCGGCCGCTCGGAGCGCCGCCCTCGGCCGCCGGCTGCCGGCGGGGGGAGGGGAGCCCGGCCTGGCACCGGTGCGTGGAAGACGGCGGAGGGCGCTTTTTCCGGGGTCAGGCCTGGTCTCGCCCAGCTCCTTTTGGTGAAGGGACGGGGAGCCCAAGCACAGTGTAGGCCACTGTGACCCTTTAGTTCGGGAGGATGAAGATGCTGCTGAGGAATGGGAGTCTTGTTATTCAGATGTATTGTGTAAAGCTGGAAATACTCATCCCAAGTAGGAAGTTTAAATAGGGCAGCCGGGAGGCTTTTCTTATTCTTTTCGTTGTTGGAACAGCTTATCCTGAACTGTTTAGTCAAATTCAGCTTTGCATGACTTGTGGGTTGTGGTCCCCCGCTCCCAAATATACATGGATTTTGAAGCGCGACTCTCACTTTTTAAAAACGAGTTTTTGCTTGTAAGAAAGTAGCCCTTAGGAACACCGATGAATAATCTGCCTCTGGCAGTGGTACAGAGTGCCGCAGCGGTGTAGGATGCCCAAACTAACTTTATAGGTATACAGAATTGTCCTTTGCGTTCCCTAAATAAATATGAATTAATGTCTTAATTTATGTTAATAGAACCACTTCGTCACTTGGATTCAAATTTCGGCAACATTTTTTAAATTTCTTCCGTCTACCTGCCCTGGGCTTTCTCATTTCCTATTTGGACTCCTGAATTCAGGCCCTGGGCCCCAGTAGGGGTCGGCTTGGCGCCCACATCCCCTCCCCCTCCCCTGTCACCCTAGGCTGTATTCAGCCTGTCTCCGCCCAACGAGTCTTCCTATACTTTGAATTCTGTTTAACTTTTTAGAAATCTTACCGAGTTGCCCCTGACTATTGATTTCAGTCCAGCCTCTTCGGCAGATGTTCAGTTTATTTCCTGATCGGGCTCCAGTCAGCCTCCAGGCTTTTTAGTCACCCTCCCTTGCTCAGATGCTGTACTCCAGCGGAAGACCTTGCCATGTGCTCCGTGGCTCCTCTCTCCAACAAAAGGTCTCCCTCAAGGCTTGAGTGACCCGGAAGCCCACCGGTCAGAACGTGTGCACCTTCCAAGAACTAGCAGATCTCTCTCCTCTTTGTGAAGACTTCCCTACCTGGTTAAAAGGGATTTGTCTCTTGCTTGGCACTCCTGGGCCTTAGATGACGCTGCTTGCCATTTCCAGTTCTGAAATTGAACTGAAATGCTGATTCACGACATTTATTCTCAGAATTTATGATTTAGCCCTCTGTTTTTAAACTCATTGGAAGCCCCCCCGCCAGTAATTATTTTGGGTTAATTTAGTGAGTGAAAGATATTTTGAATGTAACTTTCCAGGCCTTTCATTAAAGTTTTAGTCATAGTGATTTTTGAGGCATGAATGGTGGTAGGTATGGAAATACCCTTTCCACGACTGCAAAATAAAGCTAGTCATGTAAAATGAAGTCAACTGTATCTAGTGACTATTGAAGTGGTCTTAAGGATTCTTATAATTGGGGAAGGGCAGGCACAATATAACATTTTTGTTTTTAATATCCTTAATGTTTTTTTTAAAAGGAATTTGTTCTAATCTCTATATTGTGATAGAATCCAATTGTGTTAATTATATTTTCATGTAACTTTTTGATATGGTTCAACTTTTTTTTTCTCTGCTTAACAGTACTACAGTATGTGAGAAGACCTTTTTTTAAAAGGGTATGATATTTAAACTTACCCTGGAGAGGGGGAAGTTTCTCCTTCACTGGTAGGCATTCAAGTATAAGATGTATTATTAAAATGCAGTCATATCTTGTAGGATGCTTTGAAGCAGATAACTGAATTTCTAACAACTTTCTACAGTGGGTATTTTTTTTCTCTATCAGGTTAAAAAAATGTTGGGGGAATTCATTCTGAACTAACAGTTACAATTAAACCCCAATTTACAAACTCATGAAGAAAAGTACTGTTGGTCATTTGGATTCTTTCATTTACGCAGTTTATGCTTCTAGTGACGTGCTCAGTTTTTTCTAATTCCTTCCCTCGGCTGCATATGTACTATAAGAAGACAAGTCCTTTTAGTTGAGGGAGATCAAGTGGATTTAATAAAGGTAATTTATAATCTGCACTGCTCTGGTTAAGGAATACTGTTGCTAAACCATGAAGCCTGATACTTGACACAGTACAGATTTTCAGTGTTTTCTGTTCCTTGGCATTTCTTTCATTTGTTACCTTTTAACCGTGAGAAGGCCTTCCACAAGATAGGTTGAACGTCTTCCATTCTGATTTAGTTGCAGTCCTGCTCCGTCAGTGCAGTCTCCTGGTTCTAGCCTCTTTATAGTGCAGATTGAGGCCATCAGGCGTGAGGACACTTATCTGGCTGAGGATTGCTGTGTCAGAGTGAAATGAACATTATCGAATTCGGTTTTTGGTATTCTGTCACCAAAGCTATTGATTAAAACAAAATCAGTGAACATTTAGTGCCTTTCAAATGTCAACATTTCTAAGTCCATTAAAAACATTCATAAAGTTGTTAAACATTCATTAAAATCAAAATATATTCGTTAAATACATATTCTAATATGAATTAACAAGTAATGTTAATAAAAATAAAATTTAAAAAACAGACTAAACTATCCATAAAAAGAAAATGATTGTGAAAATTTATGATAAAATATTTTTTTATTGTAATGCAATCTTTTAAAACCAGGCTTATCCATGGTGTCATTGTTTTAAGTTGAGCATACATTTTTGCCCACATTTTCCAACTTCTGAAAAAGGTTTTTCTGACTTTATATGATAAAGTAATGGCAAGGAGACAGTTGAGCGACCTTTTATTTTTTTCCAGGGACATCAGTCTTTTCTTGTAGTGGCTGTAGGCTTTTTTCAAAGGAAGCATCTTCATCTCCCTATTTTCATCATGTGTAGATGGAGGTTCTGAGGCAGGTGTCTATCAATTTCGGTAGTCAGACGTGTTCATTTGAAACTATGGAACTAGAACTATAATAGTCATTATTTTTTCATTGTTGACTGTCATTTTTCCTTCTTGAAGATCATGAAAGTATATAAGAATACTTTCTAAATAAAAAGTATTTTTTTATTTTCACAGTTTTTCAATTTGGAGCTAAATTTAACTTTGAGTAGAGTTATTCAGCAAGGTTTTTTTTTTAAATTACAAGTTGTTGACTGTTTTCTAGATGTAAATAATTTGGGTTTCAGACCCAAAATAATGAGATAGTGTTTGTACCAAAGGAAACACTGTGTCTCATTACTTACTATTTCATTACACTATAATTGAATAGTGGGTTACCAAAGTTGAAATTATAGTCACCACATCTGACCCTCTTGTACACATATAAATATTTGCTTCTATGCCCGTGCCTTCTACCTTTTTTTGGGCAGTGGTAAAAACTGTCATCCTTTTCACACTTCTCTGTGTCTGTCTGCCTGTTCTCTGACCTCCAGTATTTTCCTTCCTCGGTATCTTCATTCTCTCCTTTTCGTCGGTTCCTTTCTATCTGCTTACACATGCCCACAGGTTCTTTCCTGTTTTGGGAATGAAAAAATTCAAAGGCCAGTAAGTTAACTCCTCTTGACTGTGTTATAAGCATACCTCAGTTCATTGCTCTTCACAGGTGTTGTATTCTTTACAAGTTCAAGGCACGGTGCTCTACCAGCAGAAAGATTTGGAGGCTCACTTTATTGTGGTTGTTTGGATCTGAACCTGCAGTCTCTCTCCAGTATGTTTATATCTGTTCTTCAGTTTTATAAACTGAATTTGTCTAGGAAATTAGCTGCTTTTTTCACTTTCCTTTTAGTCTTCCATTATCTGGTGTGAACCCCTTTCTTTTTATTGAAATTTCATTTCTGACAGACACCTGTAACTTCCTAGTTGCTAAATCCAGGGCTCTTTTTTGAGTTCTCATTTGACACTGCTACCTCTCCACTTTTTGAAGGTGGGACCCCATCTTTGCTGTATTTAACTTGGGAAAATTATTTAACGCTGTTGGTCCTCAGTTTCTCCTCTTGTGTTAGCAGCTTTTAAGGTTTTTTAGCACAAACAAAACAATGTATATGAAAGTGCCTGGTGTCTAGTTAGTAGCTCAGTGAAATGGTGCTTGCCCCGTCTTGACCATCTGTGTTCTGTTGCCTGACTTTAAATATCTAAGACAGTTTTGTTTTCTTTCCTTACCCCCCCACCCTTCTCCCTAAATATAGACATCCCCTAAGACTCATGTTTTTCAACTTAATCTTGGCCTTTTCCCTTGGAAATTTCACCTCCTTGCAAAGCTCTAGCCAATCAACTCTGGCTGCCAGCAACCAGACACGTACCTTGAGGCTGTGCTGGGGTCCTATTTATATGACCTCTTGGAAACTTTCATTTGAAATGTTTTTTATCACCTCAAATTGAACAGGTATGAAATCAGACCCCTTATTTTCTTCCTCTTTCCCATATACTGTGTAGGAATACTAGTATTCCTCTTAGTCAACCAGATAGAAAACCTTAGC